CTTGAGCTGAGCTGCTGCCCGGATGGCACAGTGGATAGAGCATGCGCTCTTAACAACAAGGCTGCTGTTTCGACTCCCGCATGGGATGGTGGCTATGCCCATCCGCAACTAAGATTGTAACACAGCACCTTGAGCTTAGAGGCCACGAGCTGCCGACGGGCAGCCAGATGGCGACTGGCGCCCTCCACAACTAAGATTGAAGAGCAACAACTTGGCTGGTCCCCCTCCTCAAATCCCCAACACTGTTCTCCTCGCCCAATTTCCCAATTTAAAAAACAAAACAAAACATTATAAATATGATCGCCATGGTAAGTCTAGTAACCATCTGTCCCCATGCAAAGTTATTCAAATATTACTGACTGCATTTTATGTGCTGTACATTACATCCCCCCCCCATTGACTTATTTATACTATACCTGGAGGTTATAAAATAACCTTTATTCCCCTTCACCTTTTTTCATCCATCTTCCTATCCCTGTTCCCTCTGGCAACCATCAGTTCATTCTCTGTATCTAAGAGTTTGTTTTATTTTGTTTGCTTGTTGTTTTTGTTGTTTTTTTAATATTTTATTTTATTTTTAATTTTTATTGGGGAACAGTGTGTTTTTTCCAGGACCCATCAGCTCCAAGTCAAGTAGTTGTTTCAATCTAGTTGTGGAGGGTGCAACTCAGTGGCCCATGTAGGGAATTGAACCGGCAACCTTGGGGTTATGGGCACTGCGCTCTAACCAACTGAGCTAACCGACCACCCCTTTTTTCTTTTTTTAAATTCCACATATAAGTGAAACCATAGGTATTTGTCTTTCTCTGTCTGACTTATTTCACTTAGGATAATGCCCTGAGTCCTTCCATGTTGTTGCAAATGACAAAACCTTATTCTATATTATTACCGAGCAATATTCCATCATGGACATGAATGTACAACATCTTCTTTATCCATTCACTTATTGATGGACACCTAGGTTACTTCTGTATCAAATCGCTCTTGTGAATAGTGCTGCAGTGGACATGGGAGTATATATATTTTTTTGAATTAGTGTTTTCATTTTCTTTAGATGGATACCCAGAAGTGGAATTGATGGGTCATATGGCAGTTCTATTTTTTATTTTTTTAGGAACCTCCATATTGTTTTCCATAGTGGCTACACTAGTTTACACATGTTCTTTGACCTATTCTACAATAGCTAGTTCTTTTACAGTTGAGATAATGTGTATGTTTGTAAGACAGAAACTCTGAGGCTCCTCCTTGCCTAGTTGGTGTTATGGTTATAAGCAGGAAGAGTATTTGGTGGTGTTTGTTTGTTTGACCAGAGACATTTCTTCTGATTTCTCATTCCTATACCTCTTGCTATCTTGCGTAACAGATAGTCCTAGGTGATAGGTAATGGTAAACTTGCCTTCTTCTCATCCTGTTTCCATGGGAGTCAGTCAGTTAGAATGTTTTTTAGTTGAAATTTAGCTGTAGTAGAATTAAATGTGGGCTGTTGTCACATAGCAGCATGGTGGCCAATGGGGGCCACAGGTCAGCCTGCCTGTCAGGGAGAGGGACTCCAGAGAGGAGACCCCAATGCCTCTTGTGTTTGGGAAGATGCTGCCTCTTCAGATGACTCATGGAACTCCTCTGCAGATGGCCAGGCTCTGGTGTTGGAGAATCTCACTATTGTACAAGGATATGCTGCCAGGTGGTCAAAAGGGAGGACTAGCCCTGTGATGAATATCTGCCTGCACCAGACAGAATCATTTTGCCAGGAATATTGTGGAAAAGCAGTGACCTCAGCTATGTCACCTTCCTGAAATCACAACACAAGTACTCTCTTAGTGACTTTTATTTCTGTGTAAGGACCATTAAAAAAATAAACCTCAGGGCCGGCCGAGTGGTGCGATGGTTAAGAACTGGCTTGGGACGCCAGAGGGCCCCGGTTCGGATCCCACATATGAGGGCCAGTGACACTGCCCTCCACAGCTAAGATGCTGAACAACAGCTTAACCTGGAGCTGGGCTGCCGTGAGTCGCCGGCGACGGCGTAGGCTGCAGCGCCTGTGGCAGTGGGTTGCCATGGGCTACCGTGTGTAGCCAGCAGCCAGCGTGAGCGGCCAGCAGCCGCAGTGAGCGGCCGTCCAGAAGCCAGCGACTGATCTGCCTCACCCGGGGAAAGGCGCAATGATGGTGCCAACTTGGGCCAGTGAAGCAACGTCCTCCACAACTAGACTGAAGAACAAAAGGACAGCAACTTGTCTGATCCCCTTCCCCCAATTCCCCAGTGCTGTTCCCATCTCCCAATTCCCCAATAAAAATCTTTAAACAAAACAAAACAAAACAAAAACCCTCAAAGTAACATACATAGGGTTGCTTATTAAATTTGAAGGAAAAAACTTGATCTCATTTAAATTTTAGTTAATTTATGTTCATGATTCCTTATTCATTGCCCTACCAAATGAATTTATCCCACTGCTTGCAAGCAGAAAAAATTCCACAGGGTAGTGGGCAAAACTACCCCTCCAAACAGTCAAAAGTTAAGAGTCTGTGGGACTACTTTTGATTTTATTTGTGGGAGTGCCTTTTGTGTATTTATTGATTATAGATGTCACTAGGTGCAGTTTTTGATAGGTAAGCAGAAAGGAATGCATCTTCCAGTGGAATGTGGGGCTGCAAGTGCTTCCAGGGAGGCAGGTTGGCCCCTGGCACCCACGGGTTTGTGGTGTCATTTTTAAAGCAGTGGACTTCCATTGATTTTTGGTTTTTTTTTAATGACAGCTATTGAGATATCAAGTGGTTTTAAATATATTCACAAAGTTGGGCAACCATCACTATATTTCCTGAACATTTTTATCACCCCAAAAGAAACCCAGCACCCATTTGCAGTCAGTCCCCTGCGCCCAACAACCATTCATCTATAATACTTGCCGTCTCTGTCGATTTGGCTGTTCTAGACATTTCATATAAATGGAATCATACAATATGTGGGCTTCTTTGACTCAGCATAATGTTTTCAAGTTTCATTCATGTTGTAGCATGTGCCAAGCCCTCTTTTTATTGCTAAATTAAGGTGATTCTTAATGTCTTTACACTTTGATGCATTTTTCTGAATTTTATATAAGTTTGTTTCCTTAATAATCCAAAATGTTAGTTTTAGTTTGTTTTTTTCTAAATTTGGGAATTAGGGGAGGGGAACCGTGTTGGGGAATTGGGGAAGGGGACCAGCCAAGTTGTTGTTCTTCAGTCTTAGTTGTGGAGGGCGCCAGTCACCATCTGGCTGCCCGTCATCAGCTCGTGGCCTCTAAGCTCAAGGTGCTGTGTTACAATCTTAGTTGCGGGTGGGCGTAGCCACCATCCCATGTGGGAGTTGAACCAGCAGCCTTATTGTTAAGAGCATACACTCTATCCAGTGAGCCATCCGGGCGGCAGCTCATCTCAGGGTGCCAAGTTCAGTCTTAGTTGCTGGTGGACATAGCCACCATCCCATGCGGGAGTTGAACTGACAGCCTTGTTGTGAAGAGCGCATGCTCTATCCACTGAGCCATCCAGGTGGCAGCTCAGCTCAAGGTGCCAAGTCCAGTCTTAGTTGCAGGCAGGTATAGCCCACCATCAAACAGGCAGTCTTGTTGTTAGGAGCATATGCTCTCACCAGCTGAGCCATCCTGCCACTTGTTGGCAGCTCAGCGGCAGCTCAACTTGGGCACAGCGTCACTGGCCCATGTGGAAATCGAACCGGTGGCCCTGTTGCTCAGAGCTCGCGCTCTTAAGCTAATTCTTTTTTTTTTAAAGATTTTATTGGGGAATTGGGGGGAGGGGAACAGCGTTGGGGAACTGGGGAAGGGGAGCAGACAGGTAGACAAATTGCTGTTTTTTGTTCTTCAGTCTAGTTGTGGAGGACATCACTTCACTGGCCTATGTTGGTATGATCATTGTGCTCTTCCCGGGTGTGGCAATCGGTCGCTGGTCATTGGTTGGCCGCTCACAGTGGCTCCCGGCAGCTCACACTGGCTGCCTGCCACTCACGCTGGCTGCCAGCCACTCACGTAGCTCATGGCAGCCCACTGCAGCCCTGCTGCAGCCTACACCATCCCCAGTGACTCACAGCAGCCCAGCTCCAGATCAAGCTGTTGTTCATCATCTTAGCTGTAGAGGGCGAGCGTCACTGGCCCTCAATGTGGGATCCAAACCGCAGTCCTGCTGCTCAGAGATGGTGCTCCCAAGCGAGCTCTTAACCAGCTGAGCCACTGGGCTGGCCCTCTTAAGCTAATTCTTAATCAACTGAGCTACTCGGCCGGCCAAAAGTGTTAGTTTTTTTTGTTTTAATTTTAGTTGTGGAGGACATTGCTTGACTGGCCCATGTTGGCATTGTGAGCATTGTGCTCTTCCCGGCTGAGGCAGATCGGTCGCCAGCCATTGGACGGCCTCTCACGGTGGCTCACGGTGGCTCTCGCCAGCCTCGGCCGCTTACGCTGGTCGACGGCCACCCACGGCAGCTTACGGCAGACCCACTGCAGCCTACGCTGTCGCCGTCGACTCACGGCAGCCCAGCTCCAGGTCAAGCTGTTGTTCACCATCTGAACTGGTGGCCCTGCTGCTCAGAGCCTGTGCTCCCAAGCTGACTCTTAACCAACGAGCCACTCGGCCGGCCCCCAAAGTGTTAGTTTTTAAATACGTGGCCTTAACTGGAATTGGAAATGTTTGCATTGTAAATAGGGTGTAGTTTTGTTTCAGTGTTGGGCAGTGTCATCTTGACAGTGTGGTCAGTGCTGAGGATATGGTCAGCTCAGCACCCAAAACTCTCTCCCCTCTGAGGACTCACCTTGCTGCTGTCCCCTTTCCAGGTAGAGGAAGCTGACGACTGGCTGCGCTATGGCAACCCCTGGGAGAAGGCCCGGCCCGAGTACATGCTTCCTGTGCACTTCTATGGGAGAGTGGAGCACACCCCCGAGGGGGTGAGGTGGCTGGACACGCAGGTACCCATCTTGGCGTTTCCTGGGAAGTGTGGGCTGAGTACAGTGATCACTCGGGTTTCACTGTCGCATTGGTTTGCTTTGGGGAGTGGGAGGTGTGCACTTGTATGAGCCACCATAAGCTTCCCCTGAGGACCTAACTCCAAGTAGAACCTGGGAGGTTTCCTTCTCCTTATACACCCGATTTCTTATATTTCATCAGGAACTGTCTAGACCCTTGGAAATGCTGAACATGAAGCCACACTCTAGTTTACCAGGAGCTGTGTGTTGGAGTAGAGACTAACAGTTGTTTAATGGCAAGTAGGACAGCACTGTGACAGGGACAAGGGCATTTATCTCCTGGGGGACATGAATAGCTCCCCAGCAGGTGCTCAGTGTGCTCCCTTGCCACACACTCCTGGTCTCAGGTGTGGCCCATAGCTCTCAGTAGTGCCCCAGGTATAGCTCACCAGTTACTATGAGCCCTCATTCCTGGATGTTTGGGAAGGCCTGGGTGGATGTCCTGGAACGAAGTATAGGCCCTCCCTCCCAGCTAGGCCCTGATGGCATGACCAGGGCAAGAACATACAGCACTTGGCAGAATGTGGTGCCAGCCATAGTGGGGTATAGTCATGGACAGTGCAGTCCGGGCTCAGGGATGGCAGAGAGCACCCATCTTGGTGGTTTTAGGATGCGGAGGGGGTGGAGGAGAGACCCCATGAGAGGGTTGCTATGAGTAATACATAGTCCTCTAGTGATGTGGGCGGGTTGAGCCAAAAGGGGGTGAGCTGGGAGACTGGGGTAGTCACAGGTGTGCAAAAGTGACTCATCCAGATTTCCTGCAACATAAGTTTTAAGTAGGGTACATGTGTCAAGAGCTGGCTGGAGGCCTAAAATGCCATAATAAATTGTATTTAATTTGGAAAAACAGAGAAGGGGATCTGGTTTTCTAAATGTGTGTGACTGTAAAAGATGAACATGTCAGTGTATGTAAGGCTCAGAGACCACTGAGGCATCCCACACTGAATGTGATGAGGGCCTTACCTAGGAGGGCTGGCCATGGACAGGGAAGGAGGGAAGTCAGAGATGCTTTGCACAGCTTGTCACTGACTTGGACAGGGGAGCAGGGCGAAGGTTCAGGGGAGACCGGAAGGGAAAGATAACACTGGGGCTTTAACCCGGTGGTACCCTTACACAGTCCTTTGTGGCTGCCAGAGCTGACTTCATCTTGTAAAGTTGCACAGTTGCACTTCTACGTGCCACCGTAAGTATGCCTGAGTATGAGAAGGCTTATTGGAGGGTCTGAGGGCTGGAAGTGACCTTGAGGCTCCCAGTTCTTCCTGTGCTTCCCAAGAGCAAAGCTGATAATAGTTTTGGACAGATGGGAATTGAGAAGGGGCGTGGCAGCCTCTGTGGGTAGAAAGCAGGTCTTGTGTTTTCTGTTGGGAGTGGAGTGTGTGGGCTGGTTTGGTTTCCTTGAGAATTAGAGACCAAGGCATAGAAGAGGAGCAGCCTTGCCGCAGATGTGAGAATGGAGGTCAGAAATGGAAGTCGTGTGTTGGGGGAAATTAGTTGAGTTCTGAAATTGCTCAAGCAGAGTGAGAAGAAGGAAGGTGTAGAGGGCAGAGGACTCAGACGTGGAATGAGTGGCTGTGAAGGGAGCATGAACGACTCCTTGAGGAGCTCAGGTGGGAAGAATTCTTAAGCTGATGCCAATACTGAAGCAGGTAAGTTTAGAAAGACAGTGTGACCTCTGGAGTATTATTACCTGTCAGGACCTCACAGGCAGCCTGTGAGCTGGGGCTGCAGGTGCAGGTACACAGCAGGACAGGGAGGGGGTTAGGACTTGGCCTGGCATAGGGCAAGTTGTTTAGGGCAGAAGGAAAAAAATCAGAGGAAGATGAGCAGCAGGCAGCAGGGAAGCAGAATGCTGCTTCCTGTGAGGCTGGCACTGCCCCATGGACTGGGGACTATGTCTCTGGCTGACTGGATCCTGACCATTTCTCCCTTGGCCAGGTGGTGCTGGCCATGCCATACGACACCCCAGTGCCAGGCTACAAGAACAACACTGTCAACACCATGAGGCTGTGGTCTGCCAAGGCACCCAATGACTTCAAGCTCCATGACTGTGCGTTGTACTGTTTTGTCTCCTTTGGCTGACTTATCCCAGACTCACTGGTTCAGCTCATGTCCCTTCTCTGCATGCTCATTGCTGCAGGCAGAGGGCAGGTTCCTTGTGAACAAGTGGCTTCCCAGGGAGGGCCCATAGACAGGGCCAGTGCTCCGGGCCCCGAGCCCTCAGGAAAGAGCAGGGGGCCTGGGGCGCTGCAGGGTGCATGTGATATGGGGCACCCAGCATGGCTTTGAAGGGTCGGGCATGAGGCAGGCAAAGCAGCAGCTCTGGGGGCGCTTTCTCTTCAGGAATGCTTGTCCTCAGACTGTTCAGAGAAGCAAGTGCAGCATTGCAACATGAGGGCGCATGGGGATTCTCAGAAGGCGTGCCGGTCCTGACTTGGCTGTCTCTGCTCTTAGTTAACGTGGGTGGCTACATCGAGGCAGTCCTGGACAGGAATCTGGCCGAGAACATCTCCAGAGTTCTGTACCCCAATGACAACGTGAGTAGTACCCACGATTAGTTCTTCTCTGCACCATACCTCTCCAAGTGTAGGCTGGGTTCTCTACAAGGACCTGTTTGCTGGCCTTATATTTGTCAGGTGAGACCACATAAGTAACGTCCAGGTAGTTTCTGCTCTTCTGATGACAATTTCCCAAGAAGATGACCCATTTGTTAACTGGGGACAGTAGTCCCTATTTTGCAGTGACATCTTGAGACATATAACAATCATGGTTTGAAAAGGTCTTAGACGCCCACCTCATACTAGATGACAGTTGCAGCCACATTCTTCATTGCCACTGAATTTAGTGTCTGGTAGCATTTTTGTTTTATTGCCAGACAAGAGCCCATGAAATTTGCTTATCTTAGTGCGCTATGTGTTCTTTTTATTTTATCAAAGAACTATGTACACATAGTAGCAAAGGCCATTGGTGCTGAAAGGCTCACAACAAAATGCCTGCACCCCTCCCACCAGAGATTTTGAGCAGATTCTAAAGCTTCAGGAACAAGTCATTTTTGGAATGGAGTTTGGAGATTACATTTCTCGGTGGCTCTGATATTCCTGGCCCTCAGCCTCTCATTGTTAAGGTACTAGACCTTCCTGCTTGGTGTCCTCACACAGAACCGTGTGACCCTTTGCTGACTGCTCTTGTGCTCCCTCTCTGTCTGAAGGTCACAGCCGGTCAGGCCACTTGCGACCTTCCATCTGTACCGTTGAATCACAGGTCACCTGACTGACATCTGGGCTCCCAGGATTGTGGCGATCGGGGTGTCGGCACCATGCTGACCCTCCAGGGCTTTCCTTCTTTCATCCACACACACACATTTTTGCAGTCCCTGGGGCAGGACCTCCCACTCTCCCCAAGCCTAGTGCCTTGTCCTGGGTCCTGGGGGTGGGGGGTGGAGGAGTCCTGAGGGCCTGTGTTGGCTCCATGGGCTGAATTGGTGCAAGAGCTGTCCTGTGTCTGCAGTTCTTTGAGGGAAAGGAGCTCCGCCTGAAGCAGGAGTACTTCGTGGTGGCCGCCACCCTGCAGGACATTGTTCGTCGATTTAAATCCTCCAAGTTTGGCTGCCGGGATCCAGTGAGAACCTGTTTTGAGACGTTCCCAGACAAGGTTTGTTTGTTGACTGGGGATCACGCTCAGTGTGGAAGCACAGGATTTTTCTTCCTCAGGGCTGGGGCATGGGAAGGAGGGATGTGGGTGGGACATTAGCACCCTCTCACCTTGGTCTCCTTGTCCTGGGGAGGTTGGGCCCCCCTTTTTACCAACCAGGGTCTCACTAGGCCTCATTAGGACTCCAAACAGCAAGGACACTGTAAAAGGCTCCCATGGGCAAAGCTGGACATGTTTGGCAGTCTCCGTTCAGTAATTTTAAACAAATCCAACATATCCTAGGTGAGAGGGCTTCAGGTGGTGGGGGCTGAGAGTCCTGCAGCTCCTGGATACCTGCTACAGAGCAAACGTGTTGCAGAGCCAGCCCATGGGGTCCTCCCAATGACTCTCTGTGGCCCCTCTGGCCCTGCTCCTGCTCCTTGGCTGGTTTTCAGGCTGCCCAGTGCCTGTGTGGTGCTCTCTGCTCCTTGCTGTCGGCCCTGTAGACCAGACTCCTCAGGGGTGGGCAGCTGAGGACCCCTGGCCTACACACACCAGCCATGTGGGCCTACCCCACAGGTGCAAGGTGATTGAAGGTATCACACTTTGTAAACTGCAGGTTGCCATCCAGCTGAATGACACCCACCCGGCTCTTGCCATCCCTGAACTCATAAGGATCCTGGTGGATGTGGAGAAAGTAGACTGGGACAAGGTGAGCACTGAGGACAAGGGCACGGGGTGATGGTGTCCCCTGCAGACCTGGTGTGGGGGTGATGGCATAGCTGGGCACATGGGGTGATGGTGTCTCCTGCAGACCTGGGCATAAGGGAAACAATGTTTCCTGCAGAGCTGAGCACATAGGGGTGACAGTACTCCCTGCAGACTTGGGTACATGGAATAACAATGTCCCCTACAGACCTGGGCACGTGGGGTGATGATGTCCCCTGCAGATGTGGGCACATGGGTTGGTGGTATTCCCTGCAGAGTCAGGCACAAGGAGGTGGCAGTCTACCCTTGCAGACCTGGGCACATGGGGTGATGATTTCCCCTGCAGAGCTGGATGCATAGGGGGTGATAGTATCCTCTGCGAACCTGGGCACCTTGGATGCCAGTGTCTCCCGCAGAGCTGGTCATATCAGAGTGATAATATTCCTCGCAGAGCTGGGCACATGGGTGATGATGTCTTCCACAGAACTGAGCACATGGGGTGACAGTGTCCTCTGCAGAGCTGGGCACATGGGATGAAGATGTCCCCCGCAGAGTTGGGCACGTGGGGTAATGGTATTCCCTGCAGAGCTGGGCATGGGGTGACAGTATCACCCTGACCTTGGAGTCTATCCCAGCAGTGGTTGTGAGTACTGAGCTAGTTCTGCAACACTGAGGGAGGCCTCTTCCCTGTGGCCTTGGCAGAATGGAGGGACATTGTCCCTGAGAAGATAGGGGATATGGCGGGGCGAACAAAGGAGGCGGTCTGGGGTTT